ATTGCAAGTTCAAGGCTAGCCAGATCTACAAAGTGAGCTCGAGGCTAGCCTGAACTGCATAGTGAGACCCTGTCCCAAAAAAAAAAAAAAAAAGACAGTTGGTAGAGCTATGTTCATTGTTGACAAAGCAGACTTCAAGAAAATGATGATTACTGGTGATAAGATGGGATGTTATTAATAAGCTATTTAATAAAAAATATTCACATTTAATGTTGTGACAAAAACATTCTGTATGATTTTAGTATTTTAGAATTTTTTGAGATTGCTGTAGAAAACAGATATATGACCTACCTTGGTGAATGTTCCATGTGCAATTGAAGAGAATGTGTATTCTGTGGATACTAGGTATAATATTCTTTCTATAAGTGTCTTTTAAGTCGGATTGATAATGTCTCTCCCTAGTGATTTCTCTGATAGCTTGTTATTTATTGTTGCTGTGTTCATTACTGAGAGCAATCTATTGAAATGTGAATTTATTAATTTTTCATTTTAGAAAGTTCTGTCCATTCTTCATGTGTATTAGATTATGCACATTTTTAAAGATTACTGTAGCCTACTGAATTGGCCATTTTCTGCCAGGCATAATAGCCTGTAATCCCAGCACTTGGGAGGCTTAGGCAGGACAATCACATAGTTTGCATAGGTTGGCCTCATAGTTTGAGGCCAGCCTATGCTCCATAATGAGTTCAAGCCCAGCCTGAATTACATACTGAGACCTTGTCTCAAAAAAAGTATAATGAATTGACTCTTATCATTTTTAAATGTCCCTCTCTATCTGTGTAATGGTCTTGTTACGGTTTGTGTCTGGGTGCCCCCCCAAAGCCTCATGTGGTTATGGGGCAGGCTTTTAGAGTTTGATTGATTATGGGTGTGAGAGCTACATCCACCCTGGGGTGGAGAGTTTGCATATGTAAGGGAGAAGAAGAGGCTGCTTGCGGCCATTCTTCCCTTGTGTGTGCTTGTTGCTTTGGCTGTGTTCTGCCGCCATGAGCTGTAGCCCTCTGCCATGTGCCACTCTGCCTTGTAACTTGCCAAGTATGGACTGAAACCTCCACAAACTGTAAGCGAAATAAACTTTTCCTTCCTTAATTTTGGGTGTCAGGTATTTTGTCCCAGCAACAAGAGGAAAGTAACCAAGACAGGTATTTTGCTTAAAGTCTACTTTGTCCAATAATGTAGCTTCACCAGCTTTCTCATGCAGGGTTTGCATTGTATGTTTTTCATTTTAATGTATTTGAGTCTTTATACCTAAAGTGCATATCTTAGAGACAGTAAATTGTAAGGTCTTGCTTTTTAATCCAGATTGATAAGCTTTGCTGTTTAATTGGAATCCATCTACATATAATATGGTTGATATGATTGGGTTTTAATGTGCCAACTTGGGGCTGGGGTTGTAGCTCAGTGGTAGAGTGCTTGCTTAGCATTTAAGAAGCACTGGGTTTGATCTCCAATAAATAAATAAAAATACCATCTTATTACCAGGGTTCTGGGGTGCTGTGTACTCCTAGAGAGTTTTTCTTGTTGTTATGAACAATAAATTGCACAGCAAACACATAAAATGTAGTGAGGTTTTACATTTATTAATGTTTAGGAAAAAAGCGTGCTCTACATGGTGAGAGCAGACCACTGAAAAAGAACTCACAGTGACAATAAGGTTAAGGGACACTGTCTTTTGTATTGCCTATTCTGACATTAGATCTACGCTGTCCCATCAAAAACCTGCTTGACTTTGTGCCACAAGAACTGAAGATAGCACTTTTCAGTTGGTTCCAGGTACAGTCTTGGAACTGTTGTTCTGTGCCTGTGTCATGGATTTCTGTGAATTGACAGGTCATGCCCACTTGGCCAGGTGGCTGGCCATGACCTAATCTCCTGCCTCAATCTTGGTATTTTTAATCCCATCTATTTTTAATTCCTCTGTTCTTATCTTGCCTTCTTTTGAGCAAATGAAATATTTTTAACTCTACCTCTTTGTGTTATTTCAAATAAGAATTTCTACACAGTTTTATTATGTAAATAATAGCTTAATCTTTAAATATGCAAATTAAGAGTATACCAAAAGAGATTTTTGAGAGAGGATACAGCTTTAAGTACACACTTAAAATATCAGCTACTCTGGAGGCGATGAATGAGAACATAAAGAAAATGGTGCCAGAAACCAACTTTTACTACCAGAACTCCATTTAGGTCTGGTCCAGCCCTTGTTTTCTTTTTTCCTCCCAAAATGGAACCATGACCTAGTAAGCCTTAAACTGGCACAACATGAAGCGCATGTTTATAAAACATTATAGTCAGTATAATGAGATAGCTGCCTAGATGCTATCACACTCTTCTGTCTTCCTTTTTGTTACTACAAGGATCTTAGGAGCCATTTTGGAAAATACGAAGAAATTTTTTCCAGTTAAGTTTATGCCAGACAAATATCACTTTTAGGTATTCACACAAACAATTCATGAGCAGATTAGTGCTGCCTCTAGAAGCTTGCAATTTAGTTGAAAAGATATTTGCATAATTTTGTTATGTATCTATCTATATTATATATTCTATTAAATGTATTATATCTTCATTTAATAAAAAAATGAATAGCAGCAAACCACTGTGTGTGACTGTCTTAATTACTTTTCTTTTTATTGCTGAGATATAATACTGACATCCAAAGTTAAAGAGGGAAAGATTTATTTAGCTCACAGTTTGTAGAGGTTTTAGTCCATAATTGGCTGGGTTCAAGGCATAACATGGTGGACAGACACTGCAGAGGAGAAACAATTCATGGCAGGCAGAGGTAGGAAAGCAAGCAAGCAAGAGACAAGACAAGCCTCTTTCTGTCCCTTATGTTGTATCCAGGCCACTGGGATTAGCGGGGTACCAGTCCAATCAGGGAACTGATTTAGTAATCACCCACCCTTAATCCTAGCACCCTTAATTCTAGCATTGCACTATGAGTCAGTCACACACTCCAGATTCAGCCACTTCTGAAAAAGCTGCACCTATGACTGCATGAGGCTTTGGGGGACATCTAGACACAAGCCATAACAGTGACTGTTACAGATGATAAACAAATGAAACATGTAAAGGTTTATTTAATTACAGAAGCAGCTCCTAATTAATTGGGTCCTGGCCACACAGTGCTGTCTCTGATGCTGGCACTCTGCATGACACACACTTCTCTGACATTTTCCTGACTTTCCTAATACCTGCTCTGGTTATACATTTTTATCTCTGACAGTCCACAGAGACTCTTGGTCATTTGTAGTAAGAAAAACTCATCTTTTTTCTCTCTTTTTCTGTTCTGTACATGGATAGATAAGAGATAAGTATCACATGATTATTTGAAGGATTGAAATTTTATTTCAATTTGGCTTTACTGGGTGGGAAACATTTACATCGTTTTACACTTTCAAGCATGAATTTCCTCTTTCTCAGTGTAATCAGTTTCTACTCTTCAGCATACAGAACATTTTATGAATAATACTCAATGCAGAAAGAAATCTAAAAATAATTTTGTAGGTAGGATTTTGTTAGTCTTATGTGAAATACTGTCAAGCAAAAAGAACAAAGGCACATCAGGGTAAAGGTGGTAGGCGGGGCATTTCTTTTGCTCCACCAAAGAGCTTGTCTGTACTGAAGAAGGGAAAACATAAGAAACAGGAGCATCTGTGCTAGCTATTGAATGCTTCATTCCTCATTACTGTTCGTCACATTTGAATGGAACCATGGCAGTCCTTTTGGTGTGCATCACTCAGCTCCCTTCCTTTTACTGCTAAAGGAAAAATCTTGAACTTTATATTTAAAAGCACAGGGAGACTTTTTTTGGTCATTCAGAGGTTTGTTTTGCAGTTCACAGCCATAAAGCCCATTCATTTTTGGTAAGGTGGTAAAGGAAATACAGTACGCCTAGTAGCACCTCCAGTAGCCCTGATTCATGTTATGTACACATAACTTCCAGCAGCTGTGTCTGACAGCCTACAGCATTCAGCTGAATGTTGTAATGAACAACTTGAAATGCCAAGCATTATTACAATGGATTCTTATTGGGAAAAGTCAGATCTCTAGAGCTTCTTTTTAATACTTTTCTATAAGATTTTTAAATGACATATTTACCAGTACATAATTAACATGACTAGTCTTCAAATGTTTAAGTTACTCTTTCAAAATGGGGATGAATTCAAGCTAACCATCTGGCAAATCTTGTAAGTTGGAGTTAAAACATGAATTATGTACAGAGAAATCTATTTTGCAACCATGTTACTGAATATATATATGTAAATATATGTAATTGGTAATATTAAGAATTACTAGGATCCTGTGTCAATATAACATTTATTTGTTTAATTTTCATATTATTCTGTTCAGCATGAGGAATGAATTTTAGGTTTGTTTTCCTATTCTACTGCTGTACTTGGGTTTTTGGTACAGGATAAAATATTCCCTAGAAATATATTGCTTAGAATTTCCCAAACAGAATAATAAAATAACTTTTTAAAAATTGTCTTTAATACACAAAATTCAGATTCTGGGCTTAGGTGATTTGGCCATGTGCTTAAAAATGAAGCAAACATCCAACAAAGCAAAGTTGGTCAAAGCTGTAATTTGTAAAGAATGCCAGCCAGTGTTGCTCACCCTAAACACTGCTTTTCCTTCATGTGGTCGGCCTGCAGGTACTTCAGGAAAGAACTGTCATGCCCATTTTTTTTTTAACATTAGGGAGTGAATCCAGGACCTTTAAATTGAACTTCATCTCCAGCCCTTTTCTTACTTAAGACAGGGTGTCACTAAGTTGTTAAGCTATTCAGGCTGGGCCCAAACTTATGATCTTCTGACTTAGCCAGTGTTCCGAGATTTACATGTACGTGCTGCCACATCTGGCTTTCATACCCATCTTTCATTGAAAAGCACTTAATTTCCATCTCCCTTCTCGGATTGTAAACCTTTTAGAACAGATTTTGACTATTAAACAATATATTTCAATTTAATATTCACTAATCATTTTGATTTTTCAGGTACTGCTTAGGATGAATGTGATTTGGAGAAGTTACATTTGCAGTGTAAGGCTAAGGAAGGTGCCACACAGATGCCAAAGTGGTAACCACCCAGCAACTCCCCTGGGATCAAGGATTTTAACTGATCCAGCCAAAGTTTTTGAACACAACATGTGGTAAGTTTCCTTTTTAGGTCTATTTAATAAGCATACTATGTATGCTTATTAAATATTACTAGTGGTATTATTTTCATTTGTAACATATTTTCATTTACATAGTAAACAAGATAGTTTACTTTTATAAAAGAAAGACTTTTATAGAGTTTGGTGAAAGGTAAGGTTGAAATGATATAGACCAGATGTGGCGATAGGAACAAGATTGCATGTGGTCCTGTATTCATAGCGGACATGCCTGCCACTTCAGAACCACTGTGGAGAAGTAACATTCACATAGTACATTAAGTGTACGTATGTGGTAACAGTGCACTGTACAGGTCAGCAGGGATAACTAGAAGCAAGAGGGGGCCGGTGAGAGATTGTGAACAAAAATAAATAGAGCTTGCTGCTTGTGTAGAATAAAAGCAAAGGAAGAATTTGACTCAAGTTTTGAACTGAGGTCACTGATAGAACAAGAAAAGTCAAGGAGTATTTCTTTTTTAATTTTGGAAGAAAGATGGATTTAGTTGTAGACATTTTGAATAGGCTTTGAGAGAAAGATATTTCAGGTAAAATGTCTAGGAAACAGGCATGCAGGGTGTCAAAGCTGAAGATACGAAGTTGGATGTAACATCGATGGCCAAAACTGTTATCAAACTAGGCTTTGGGGCTGGATTGGGAAAGGGATGTTTTGACTCTTGTTTTTATTGCAACAGAATATCATTTTAAAAAGGAAATATATTGATCTGTTATTAATTAGTCCTTCTGTACAGCAACTGACCACATGTGGTTTTGAAATACTTCAGATATGGTTAGTCTGAATGAAGCTGTGCTTCGAGATTTTGAAGACAGTACAAAAATAAATAAGCTAAAATATCAATAATTTTTGTATTGAATTTCATCTTGAAATCAGTAAAATTTTGGATATATTGAGCTAAACAAAATACATTATTAAAATGAATTTTACCTCATCACTGGGGCTACTAGAAAAGTTTAAATTAGTTACATATGTGGCTCACATTATACTTTTTTGAAATTAAAAAAAAGTAAACCATTTTGACAACAATCACCAATTTGGACAATTATTGCAGGCTGTGAGAGGAAATGGGCCCTTTGCCAGGCCATGAAATCTCCAGAAACACTTCTGGTCCTAGGCAAGCTCTCTTTTCTTCATTAACCCTAGTGATTTAGCTATGTTCTTTCTTTTTCCATCTGCTCTCACTGCTCTTTTCCCTGACCTTCTAACTGATTTAAGTCCTAGCTTCTCTTAGGCTCCCAAGAAAGCAAGGGCTCTTTGGTTCAGCAGTTCTCAAACACCCAGGAGTAGCCTTGGGCAGGTTGCAGAGGAACCCTGTGAGGAGTTACTATTCACCAGGTCTAGGGATATGGCCCGGGAGTTTTTAATTTGAAAACTTTGGCTAATTCTCTTGAGCAGCCAGGTTTAGGAACTCTTGATATGTATTCCAGTGGCTTTCAGGCTTTGCTTTAGCAGCAGAACTTTCTTTAGGTGACATTTTAATGTGAGATCTCAATATTTAAAAGAGCAAACCTGCCTGAATCATGGCAGATGTAGAGGCCTGGGACATCAATAGCTCTAAACTGGGCGTGGTGGCACACGCCTATAATCCCAGCACTCTGGAGGCTGAGGCAGGAGAATTGTGAGTTGGAGACCAGCCTGGGCTACAGAGTGAGCTCAAGGCCAGCCTGAACTGCATAGCGAGACCCTGTCTTGAAAAAAGGCACAAACACAAAAAAAGCTCTACTTCCTTTTCCTTTCCTTTGTCTCCTCAGGTATTGTAGTAGCCCAGAGGACCTTTAAGGCCCTATTCATCACAGGTTGAAAAACTGATCTGTCTAGACAGCCATCCTCCTCCATCTCCTGCCCCGCAAGGGCTTTTCCAGTCTGCATTAGGACCACTGGAATACCTCTCGTGACCTCTCTCCCTTAGCACATATCTACTGTAATAATGCAGTAAAAAATAGTTTCTTCTAAGGGAAAATCAAAGTGGTTGTTTCACATCATTTGCTCATATATCCTGATTCTTTTCCTTTTATCCCCTTTCCTTTTTTTTCTTAAAGAGAAAAATATGTCGCAAAGATTGATAAGATTGTTAACTCCTTCTTTCAAGTCCAGAGTTCTAAAAGTACTCATTTTCTTCCTTATTTTCATCTTCATATTTGAGAATATTATTTCCTCTCTTGGCGAAGTGGGTTTTAAAAAAGATGTGTGTAGAAAAGTACATGTCAATTTTTTTCTGAGAATTATCTGTAGTACATCAGATGTGATGGCACATGGCTGTAATTCCAGTGCTCTCGGAGACTGAGGCAGGAGGATCACAAGTTCCAGCCCAGCCTGAGCAACTTTGTGCGATCTTGTCTCAAAATAAAAAATAATAAAAAGGGCTGGGGATGTAGTTGAGGGCAGAGGCGTTAGTTCAGTCCCCATTATTGTAAAAAGAAAAAAGTTATCTACAGTTCATTTTTCCGTTTAGCCTCTACTTAGTAAGGATATTTTATTCCATATAGGACCCCTTTGAAATTTTTTAACATTCTTTTATTCAATTTCTAATACTATTTTGAGAAAGATTTTCCTTTCAGATTCTAGATGTGTATATTACTTACTAGCACTTTGTCTCCTCAGGTACTCTTTACATCTGTCTAGATTCATTTTTTAATACTTAAGTGACGTTCATGTAACAGAATAACCATTTTAAAGCAAACAATTTTGCTTGCTTGGCATTAGTTACATTTAGTTTTATACATTCAGCCCCTCTGTCTAATTTATAAATTATTTCCATCACTCCAGAGTGAAACCACTAGCTGGACACTGTGGCACATGCCTATAATCCCAGCACTCAGGAGACTGAGGTAGGAGAATCACCATGAGTTCAAGACCAGCCTGGGCCACACAGTGAGCTCAAGCCCAGCCTGAACTACATAGCGAGACCCTGTCTCAAAAAACAGATGAACAAAACCAATGTGAAACTACTTATTAATAAAGTCCCCATCCTCTACCAACCACTAATCTGTGTTCTGTCTCTGTGGATTTCACTTTTCTGCATATTCTGGATTCATATTTCATATAAATGGAATCACAAAGTATGTGACCTTTTATGTCTGGCTTTTTTCACATAGTGTCATATTTTGGAGGGTCATCCATCTTGCAGCATATATTATACTTTCTTCTTTTATCTGGCTGAATAATATTTCATTGTTTATATGCACCACAGTTGGTTTATTCATTCATCCACTGGAGGCACTTGAGCTCTTCCCACCTTTTGGCTCCTGTGAACAATGCTGTGAACATGGGTGTACATGAACTAGATTGAGTCACTATTTTCAGTTCTTGGGGGTGTACATCTAGGAGTGGAGTCATGGAGTAATATAGTATTCTGTGTTTTAAGTTTTCAAGTAGTTGTTGAGCTTTTTTTCACAGCAGCTGAGCTATTTTATATTCTGCCTATAGTCTTTTAAATTATACTTGGTATATTTAATCAACGTTGGGGAATACTGACCAGAAAAGATAGTGAAAATGCATTTTTTTTTTCTTGAGACAGGGTCTAGCTATATAGTTCTGGCTGACCTTGCACTCATTATGTAGCACATCTTGACCTCAAACTCACAGTGATTCTGCGCCTCAGCCTGAGATTACAGGCATGTGCTACCACGCCTGGCTCCAAAATGCTCTTTGAGGCATGGCCCAGAAGTCTGTCTGTGTCACACAGCTTACACAGTTACTTTAAAAAATTGTTCCTCATTCAACAGTGTTCCTGGTTTAATTGACAGTAAGTACAGTTTACTTCATGGAACAGTAATGCAGAAATATACAGACCACAGGAACAAAATTTTCCTGTACAATTTTTACCATGTGAGGTGTGCACCCATGTTTTCCGTGTGTTCTGTTCTGCTGTTCCTATTCCTTTCTCTTTTTCAGTGTTGGTTAGAGTAGCTAAGTTGATTTCATGACTCACAAATGGAACTGACCTTTAGTTTAAAAAAACACTGAGCTAAGCCATACTCTGAATACCCAAGGTAAGCCCTAGATGTTGCCACATGACTTTTATTATATAAGACATTTAAATAATAGACTTTCCAGAATCATAATAGGGTTCCAGTGCCAAGATTTTTTATTCTGTTTCCTTTTATAATCATTGTATTTATCACCTATCCCTCTTCCCATGTTTCATACTTAGTTCTTTAATACAGTTAATCAATAAATGTTTTCTTTGGCTGTCTACATCATGACATTTGTTATAAGAGGCATCAGAGTGTAAATGTTAAGAGCACAGGTTTGGGAAGTTACTTAATCCCTCTATGGCTCGGTTTTCTCATTGGTAATATAGGATAATAGTGGTAATTCCTACCTTACGGCGTAAATTGAACATTAAGTGATCATAAAGTGTCTATACATAATAAATAGACAACATACAGTACTTTATAAGAATTACCTATCTTGCCATTGCCATTTTCTAATGTTATTTTAGTTATATCTGTTTTGTCTTCATTATTAGTCTTATTCTACAGAGAACTTAGCTTGTCTTTCATTGCTATACTCCTTATGTAATCAATACTAAATAAATGTTTGAATAAGTGAATCAGTATAGAGAAATATAAGATCCAGTTCCTAACTAGAAGTTTAAAACTAAACTGAAAACTATTATAGTGGCTAAACATGGACTTCAGAATCCAAGGAATCTCAGTACTATCCCTGTCCGGCCTTGTGAACTTGAGCAAACTCCTTCTGAGGTTCTTGGGAGTAACAGTTTAAGTGCTCACTAAAAGGCATCACCATTATTATCTTATTAAATGGAGAATTATGATATATACTTGTGAATAAATAAACAGCATAGGCAAGTATGCAAGATCATAATAAGTGTAAAGACAGTGAAGACAACAGGAAATCACAATAGCAAGAGATTCCTAAGATGGGGATGGAAGAGCAGGTGGAATTTAACCTGAGCTTTGAGGGACCGTGAGTACTTGAATAGTAAAAGTGATTTGTTTTAGACAGGTAGTACTGT